CAGCATTTTCTGTACCAGGTGCAAAAAAATTAAGAACTATGATTGGAAAAAGTTACAGTTTTAACAAAGAAGCATTATGTGAAATTTTTCAATGAAGAATTGATTATATCTCATTAACTACAGACTTCTGGACCAGTAGAGCCAAGCATGGATACCTTGATATTACTTTTTCTTTTATTGCAACAGACTTTAGTGTAGTTGATAACAATAAATGGTGCATGCTGCAACAAAACCAGACAAAGTGAACATCATACATGTCACATGGAAATACAGGCCTCAAATTTAATCATCACTAACATGATTATTATTATGATTTAATGTCCCATCTGTTATTCTTTTGCAATTATAAAACAACAGTTAGCTATCTAGATTAAGTATATTTTGAAATTTATTATATATAATATTAATCAACTTATGGTTGAATAGAATATTTATCATGTTATGAAAACTAATGACATTCTAAAGAATTGCAATAAAAAATTACCATTACTATACCATTCTTTAAAATAAAAGGATTTAAATATGCTTATAAAAAAACTAACAAATGATTTTTCTTTTTCAACTAACAATATTCAACAGAATTTACTTTTTCTATTTCTTGGAGAATATAACATTTCGGTAATGAACAGAGTTGCCCTTTCATCTTTGTTTGGTGATGCCAAGCCAGACTCATAAATATATTTGTTTATATTAGATTGACTCTCCACTAACAATGTCTAGAAGTACAATTATATCAGTCAAGAAAATTATAAATTTTTTTTCGAAAATAAATAAAAAAGTATTTATTAATACCTTAAAATGTAAAAGGATAGGTATGCATTCTCTTAATTTAGAAATATTTTGTTTAGATGATGGAATAATGACTTTCTCTATTTCTCTAAAGATATATAATTGTTTAAATGGAATCGATAATTCATAAATGATAGCTACATGATCTATATATGATAAAGCAAACATCAGAGATAAGCAAAATGAATATTATTGAGAAACTTAATAAATAAAAACTTACTGTATACATGTAAAGCATAAAGTTTTATTAGATTTAGATTAGCAATGGTTCCACCATGAGTTCTAACAATTTTATTTATCATAACCTTGAGCATTTTTGCAATTTTAACTTTGTCTTCAACATAATGAGTGTGTTGTCTGGTGTTTGGAGGACCAGAAACTTCTGATATTGCAAATTCAATTTTTAGAAATTTTGTCATCCACACTATATCAATTTTCCTACCACTACTCCTCTCCTCATCATCACTTTTATTTTTGTCTTGATCATCTGCTGAAGCAAATAAATTCTTCTCACCACTGAATATAGTTATTTCTTTTTATATTAATAGATGATTTTTTATAAAGAAAAGTTTAATTCAGGCTATATATATATTATATACTACTTACAAGCATATCTCCATATTGTTAAATTGATCCTGAAACAAGCTGGTTATTAATGGGGTTAAGAACATCATCAGGAAACTTTTCCCGCCATAATATTACATCCGTAAGTTTTAATATGAAATGTTGTAATATTTCACATAAAAAGGATGTAATATTTACACTGA